TCTCTCCATTTTTCTTCTTATGACATGGAAGGGCAGGAACACAGTTCAGAGTCTAAAGCATTTTGGGACCATAGACTCCCTTACCAGAGCACTGGGGAATTCCCTTAGTTACCAAGGGTAGTAAATAAAAGAAATACTGTAGAAAATTCCTTTCTAATGCCTATCTCTTAGAGTTCTCAGCTATTATCTCCTTAAATTTTTACTTCAAATTTATTTGATCTAGGAAAGGAAACTTATGCACTGATTAACGGCCAAGATTTCTCTAAAAGTGATATGAAGACAGTGGTCTATGTCGGAGGTAATGGCAAAAAGCAGAAATGGGAGAAAGGAAGAAATGAAGGAAGAGGAGAGGACAAAGATAACCAGGGGAAGGATGAGAAAGAACGGAAGAAAAAGAAAGACAGGAAGTGCAAGACAAGCAGGAAGGAGGCAGGAGAGTCGCTGGGGGATCTCAGACGTTGATACACTGAATTTCAACCAGAAATGGACTAAGTTGCTGATACAGACAGCAAATAAGATATTCGGAGGACCGCTGCCTGCAGGGTTTTAAAGATGGAAACACCAAACAGAATCACGAGAACGGCCTAAAATCAATTAAAAATTAAAAGTAGACACCTTGGTAGGGGCAGCTCTGTGTTTGCTACTATGTCTGTCTCCCTCTCCAGGCCCAAAAGCACTGAAACCATTTAACCAGTAACTGAAACCTCCAACACTTTGCAGGCCAAAATCAACCTTCCATTTTTGTAACTGACTTATCTCATACACTGGTCACAGTGATGAAAAGCTGTCTGACACAGTGAATCTCCATATCCTGCCAGGCTCTGGGTGGCCACATTAGCTTTGGTTTTTATTCCATCTCCATTTCTCCCTTATTGTATTCTCAACTTACTCCTCTTCAAGCAAATGATGTGTTCCTGTCCGTTGCCAAATGAAGGAAGAGTGAAAACACCTGTTGTCCTGTCTTTTCAAGGGTTTAAACTCATGGTAGACAGAATGAAACTATGGATACATGTGGTACTTACAGGAAGTCTATATGTTTCTAATAAGCAAAACAAGCCACCCAAGAATACATACACCATAATTTCCTTTAAATAAACTTCAAAAAAAAAGAGACCACACTAAGTTGTTGATTTACATGCATAATAGATAATAGGACAATTTTTAAGAAGCAAGAATTGGGGGTTGGGGAGATGGTTTGAACCCTGAGTAAGAGAACTTGCTGCAAGAGCATGAGGAACTGATTTTGCATCCCTGGCACCCAAGTAAAAACCCAGCAGGAACACATGAGTGCCTGGGAGCCCACAACTGTACGGACGGACACAGAAGGATCATTAGGACTTGTTGAGATAATAGGACAATTTTTAAGAAGCAAGAATTGGGGGTTGGGGAGATGGTTTGAACCCTGAGTAAGAGAACTTGCTGCAAGAGCATGAGGAACTGATTTTGCATCCCTGGCACCCAAGTAAAAACCCAGCAGGAACACATGAGTGCCTGGGAGCCCACAACTGTACGGACGGACACAGAAGGATCATTAGGACTTGTTGACTGCCAGCCTTGCTCCAAGTTCAATGAGAGACGCTGACTCAAGGCAGTAAGAGGAAAGTAAAGAGCAGGACACCCAATGTCCTCCTGTAGTCTGTACACATGCATGGGGTACACATACCTGCACACATATGTACACATAACATACACACACACATACACACATACACACGAAGTGTGCCGTATAAATGAAGGTGTTGGTGAACTTTATGGAGTGTGTGAGAGGGAGCGATTCGGGCCCTTCAGTGTCAGTAAGTTTTATTTCTTTGTCTGGATAGTAACAATATGATGTTCACTTCATGTGCTTTAACTATTGTCAATATTTCTCCATGTACACTGGGTGTTCTGGGTGGCCACATTAGCTTTGGTTTTTATTCCATCTCCATTTCTCCCTTATTGTATTCTCAACTTACTCCTCTTCAAGCAAATGATGTGTTCCTGTCCGTTGCCAAATGAAGGAAGAGTGAAAACACCTGTTGTCCTGTCTTTTCAAGGGTTTAAACTCATGGTAGACAGGATTAAGAACCACTCCCAGGAGCTAGTGCAGGACGCATTACGTCCAACAATCCAAGACTTTGCCAATCTGCCCTACGGAAAGCTTCCTCCTTTCCACAGAACAGAAACAGATGACATGACATTCCCTGGGGATCATGGCTCGAGATTTCCATACCCTGTGTCATCTCCACAAAGTGAGATTTAAAGCCTGCCCTTTTCTGCAGACTTCTGTATTGCTTGCTGAGGGCTGTGGAGAAAGCCTGCTCTCAGTGCAGTCAGCTATGGAAGTGTTAGGAGACCATCGGTCTCAGTCATGTGATCGAATCCAATATAATAAAATAACAGAATAACTTGTTCAAAGGATTTGCCATTGAATAGCAAAAACAAGACAGCAACAAAACAAAAAAACAGAACAATATAGAACATAACCCCTCAAGATGTATGGTCACCCAGTTTGGATGTGGAATGTATGGGTAGCCTGCATCCTTCAGCCCATCTGTGTTTTAAAAAATGTTTTATTATTTTTATTTTGTGTGTATGAGTGTATTGCCTGCATGTATGCAAGTACACTCATCATGTGCAATGCCTGTGGAGGTCAGAAGAGGGCATTAGAGTCCCTGGAGCTGGAGTTACAGATGGTTGTTAGCTACCATGTGAGTGCTGGGAATCAAATCTCATCCTCTGCAAGAGCAACCAGTGCTCTTAACCATGGAGCCATCTCTCCAGTCCCCATTACTGCTATTGTCTAGCCATGACAGCCAAGGAGAAAAGGAATCCTATTTCAAAGTACTCATCAACAAAGACTTAATGTAGTGAATAAAAGAAATACTGTAGAAAATTCCTTTCTAATGCCTATCTCTTAGGGTTCTCAGCTATTATCTCCTTAAATTTTTACTTCAAATTTATTTGATCTAGGAAAGGAAACTTATGCACTGATTAACGGCCAAGATTTCTCTAAAAGTGATATGAAGACAGTGGTCTATGTCGGAGGCAATGGCAAAAAGCAGAAATGGGAGAAAGGAAGAAATGAAGGAAGAGGAGAGGACAAAGATAACCAGAGGAAGGATGAGAGGGAACCGAAGAAAAAGAAAGACAGGAAGTGCAAGACAAGCAGAAAGGAGGCAGGAGAGTCGCTGGGGGATCTCAGACGTTGAAACACTGAATTTCAACCAGAAATGGACTAAGTTGCTGATACGGACAGCAAATAAGACATTTGGAAGAACGCTGCCTGCAGGGTTTTTAAAGATGGAAACACCAAACAGAATCACGAGAACGGCCTAAAATCAATTAAAAATTAAAAGTAGACACCTTGGTAGGGAAAAAATACATACTTCACGAAACAATAATTAAAATGTCAAGGTGCTCATAGTAGTTTGTGGTGAGCTAAATAGCATGTGACTATGGAATGCATAGATCAGTGGGAGTTAGAACTTTCTTACACTAAAAAAATTTTAAGGATTTATAGAATGCTAGAGAGAACACCAATGCTCACCAAGAACAGATGCAGACATGAATTGTGGTACCCTCAGTCAATAGCA